CTTGACAACCAGGGCCCGTATTCACAAAACATTTTATTTTACCACTAAGAGTTCTCCTAAATAGCAGTAACAGTTTTTAGCTAAGAGTTTTCTCTTAAAACCTATTCACAAAGCTGCTGAGACAAACATTTACTAAGGAATAGAGAGATGTCAGCTTGCTTACTAACTATGCACACAGTGATTGGCTGATAGTCTCTGTCAAAGATTTATTCATAGAAATATTGAAGAGCGCAATATTATGTTGCCATATTCAAATAAAGGTTTTAAAATAAAACTGCTAATTGCAACATTCAAAAAAAGATTTTAAAATGCAGGCTAAGTGTAACTAATTAAACAATATACATATATATATGTATGTTCAGCTAATTGTCAGCCTGTATGCTTCTTGTAAAAAATTAGTGAATATGCATATAAACAGCCTTTTAATTAACAGAGTAGAATAATTCTTGGCTGATAGTAAGACATGCAAACAAAAAAGAAAACCAAACTGGACGCACGAACAGCTGTTACTTCTTTCACAATTGGTTAATGAAAACAAATAATCAAAGGAAAATTTGAAGTTGGGATATCCTCCAAAACCAAAGGCGATACCTTTTTAAAATCACATTATCGTCAAATGTTTCTAAAATGTTTACGTTCCGAGGCAGATTGCCGGCAACAGCCATTTTAGTTTGTGGTTTGATCTTAGTGACTTTAGGAGTCCTCTTCGCTACTCCTAACTTTTCACAGATTTAGGAGCTAGTTTTAGTGCTAAAACGCTTTGTGAAATACTCTTGGAGTCCTAAGTTTAGGACTGACACGCCCATTATTTTTAAGATTTTCTCCTAAATTGGCGAGTTATTATGAGCAAGATGTTTTGTGAATACGGGCCCAGATCATTTAATTAAAATCTCTGAAATGACTCCAATGATATCTTGATACATCTAAAAATAATTACCTTACCTAATAACTGTGAGTAAAACTTACCTTCATTTTTGATTAATGAAGCAAAATGGGCATGACCTCTGATAGTATCAATTGGTCTATGAGCACAGAATCAACACGTAATTTCTTAGGAGACATCTTTATAAGAGTACAGCTGTATTTCTGTTGCTAAAAAAAAAAAGCGTATACTTACTTGCCTAATGTGATATGGAAATTCCCCGCCACTTTAATGACATGGATTTGTCCATGTATCCTACATGCATTCTGGGAATTAGATGGAGAATCATTTCTGTGCAAAGAAAAAAGCAGAAACAGTTCAATTAATTATTCACGGCATGATTAACCATTAAATGAATCGTTTGCAAGTGAAAAACTTAGCTCATCATGTTTGATCAAATCCTTAATAAAATTAATAAAAGTCTTTCTGCCACGTACTGTACATATTGGATTGAATATTATTATAATAATAATGTTAACAGATGTACAGTACTGTGGAACTGGGTCAGAAAAGTGTCCTTTCAGTGCTGATTTAAAGAGTACATCTTGAAGTGAACGCTCTTCCCTCAGTCGGTTTTGAATCTGATGTAATATCCTTAAAAACAAGAATCACAGATGAAGACTATAATTGCATACATATATTGTCAGGACCCCATTTTATTTTAGCTTCCCATAATATGCATTAAAGTGATAACTGACAAAGATGTCACACATACTGATACCACAGTTTTTTCTGTGGAGAGGGCTCAAAGCTGACCTGAAAGAAAAAGAAATAGTTGCTGCTAGTTATGATAAGCTGTCTAATGAAATCTGAAATTCAGTTGATGGTTTTAAGTTACTTACGGGATCATATTTAAGTTCCTTTGATGCAATGATAGTGCCAGTAATATCCAACACATCTGCACCCACTCCCAGACAAGAATAAGGGCTTCTACATGAGATGAGTTGATTCCGAATAATTAATACATGAAACATGTTGAAAAACAATTCAATGCATAAAAGATGTACTTACTTTCACATTTAATTGCAACTGTGATGTCAATTTTTATCTTCAGTTTACTGACAATGAAAAGAAAAAAGAAAAAAAAAATCTTATCTTTTAATTTAAAAAAATGTATTTGACAAAATTTCAATAAATAGCACCTGTAAGCATAGCAAATATACACACCTAGTAAAATCGGTGTCTACTTCGTATTCATAATTCAACCATGAGTCCTGGTATACAAAAAACTCTGAGATGGTCAGAAGTGCCATGAGGATGAATACAATCAGAGACACTGGTGAAGACAACCAAAAGGTCTTAATCAATAACGTACTGTAGCGAACACCTGTCCTATTCAGACAGCAAATGTGAAAATTCACCTGTGCCTCCAAAAGCTGATGTTTCAACATAGCTCTCTGGAACTTTAGGAAAGGCATCTAGTTCTTTAACCAAGTTGAGAGTATTTCTTCTGTTCAGCCTCTTCATTGTTTAGTGGATTTATCTCAGTTCTGTACATGCAAAAACATGAATTTATTTCTGAATAAAATCACATTTAATGGTCTGGCCATCTGTGTCACCTTAATACAAGACACCACAGGGTAAAAATAGTAACTAACAGGTATCACCATACTTCCCCAGTTATTACAAGTTTATGAAATCTTTTAAAGGGGTCATATGATGCGATTTCAATTTTTCCTTTCTCTTTGGAGTGTTACAAGCTCTTGGTGCATAAAGAAGATCTGTAAAGTTGCAAAGACTAAAGTCTCAAATCCAAAGAGATATTCTTTATAAAAGTTAAGAGTTAACCACGCCTACCTAAAACAGCTCATTCTAACACGCCCCCAGATATCTACCTCACTATGTGGGAAGATTTGCATAACGCCGCCCAAATGTTCACGCAAAGAAAGAAGGCGTAACTTTTAGTCTCACTGTAGTTTTGTTGACGCTTCAGACCGATGAGCTTTGTAAAAATCGACGCGTTTCAAAAAGGCGGGGCATAGAGGAGAAACAATAATGTACAGTATGTGGAAAATAATGTGTTTTTTTAACTTTAAACCACATAAACACATTTCATTACACCAAATACACCAAATAATGTTCTTTTTAGCAGCATCATATGACCCCTTTAATATGCAAACAAGGCACTATTTAATTAAATATACAGTCATTTTCATACATTTTTAGAACACTGGATCAAGCCAAGATCAAAATTATTATTTCATTTTGTTGACATTATAGAGAGTTAAAGGTTTTGACAGAGGGGATTTTGGATATTCCTTTTTATCACTCTAAAAATCACAAATTACTGTCAACAGCAAGAAAACAAATCATGATATTATAGTAATAAAAAGTTATGTGTTAGATCCCCCTGCAAAACCCCTCAGAATATAGATAGGAATGCAACTGGAAAGTTTGGTGTGTGTAAATTCTATTGAAGAGATTTATGGCTCATTTTGAGAAAACTGCCTTTAAAGAAACATGCAATTAAAATCTGTAGACACAAATACATAAAATACATTTAAATATGTATTTTGGATGTTTTCTTTCCACTAGTCTGTTTGTTTTTTTCCTGTAGAGTCTTGTTAGAACAGCTAATACGGCAATATCTGTGTTTGATTCCAATGATATACCTGTGCAGATTGGCAAAATTGTAAACTTTAGTTATATTAATGTAAACACTTGTAGTGCTTGTTTTCTGGCATAAATGCTAAACACAAGCTAAATGCTAAATAAGATCATTCTTCCCGTTCACCCAACTCAGATAATTGTGCTATTAAAGCTTATTTCTGCACAATCAACTCTAAAAAGCAAACTGACACAACAAGACTGATGCAAATGTGAATTAATTCTTCGTCTTACCTCTTTCTAAACACCTTTAAGACTAAGGTTTGAACACTTCCCAATGAGACGATCCATTCACTGCCATTCAAATGGGCTGTTTTGCACCACTACCACGCTGTGAAACAGCTGGTTTTTCCGGTTAAACGAGATAGGACTAACTGCAGAACCATACGTCATGACAGTCTGAGGACAACAGCGCCAGACTAACAATCTGAGGCCGGAAGTGGGCGGAGCAAGTGTTGCCTTACTAGGCATTCCGCTACTTCCGTGTTTTGGTTATCATCAAGAATTTTATTAAAACGATTGAATTGAAAAGATATATAAGATGCAATTAATTATATTAAATATATATATTTATTGCTGTTGTCCTCAGACTGTCATGACGTATGGTTCTGCGGTTCTGCAGTTGGTTGTTATTGGGTTAAACAAAACCCAGCAGTTTTCCTTGAAACAAAAGTTGACTGACAGGACTGAAATACCTGAAGAATCTGCAGATGCTTCATCCAGAACTCACTGAAACTTAGTAGCAATATCAGTTTGCAATAAGGCTTCAGTTAAAATAAATACATAAATAAATGTTTACCTAAAGAAATTTGTGAAGTTAAGAGGAAGTTGTTCACAAATTTTTACAGGATTAAGCAGCTTAAAGTGAAAGTAGCTGTACAAATTGCTTTGGTGTAACTCAGTAGCACTTAATATCAAGAGAATATTATGACAATAATTTAAAACAAAATTATTTTACACAATTATCACATATACAAATTGTCAGAGAAGAAACCTTTTTTGTGCAGTTCTAATCTGAATTGTATCAATATATTGAAACATTAGTGTTTAAAGAACAGCAAAAAAAAAAAAAAAACTCTTTACAGCCTTCAGTTTTTAAGTCCATGTTTTTAAATTGTTTTAAGTTTTATTTTAGAGATGTTTACAATCTATGCACATTGCTTATTTTATCTTGAACATTTACTTTAAATTTAATTTTAATATACCATATAGATGTTTTATTTTAATCTCTTAATCTATTAGTATAGGCTAATATATTTATTGTTCTCATTTATATATCTTAATCAATATCTGTGCATCTGCAGGTTTTATACATTTATAAATAAAAATAATAACAAAAAACATTCCTTCGAGAATCTGACGAAATATATTTCATAGCATTGACTTTTTTACCTACTAGTAGCCTAAATAATATGAAAAGCAGAAAAAAGCTCCCCAGTCACGTGTAGTCCTAAGGTCTCAAAGAGGTCGTTCAATTGCGCATGCGCATTGCTTTCGCCTTTTACCGCGCGGTGACCTGCTCCTGTCAAAGTGAGGAACATCTTTCATCTCCGCAGTAATATATTCGGCAAAGTTGAAAGGTACTTGTATGTATTCATATCGCGTATTAAGTATTACCCACCAAATGTAACAAACTGAAGAGTATACGTGAATAATAAACGTGCTCTGTCGATTAACGTTAACCTAGCAAGCCACGTGTAACCAGAATTGCTCAGAATCAGTCCGGTCATTATTATATTTAATACACTGGATTTTTTTAGTTAGTTCAGGGACTAACAGTTATATAACTTACGTTTTATCAAGGAAAGTCCTGTGAGAAGCTTATGGTGCTGTATTTACATATTTATACACAAGGATAAGTATTATGCCAGGACATAGCCTACATGACCCTCCACGTTCGTTAAACCTTGTTTCAGTGCTTTTGCTTGAGATATACTTATCTGAAGCTCTAATCAAACACACCTGAACCAGCTAACTATGGTCTGTGGGTTCACTTGAAAATGACAGACAAGTGTAATGTAGCAAAGTTTGAGCTAAACTCTGCAGGAAGTTTGATTTCCGGGAGCAGAATTGACTAGCCTTGCATCATCCCAATTACACACACAATGACCCATGGTACTGATTAACAATGTATTTTACCTCACAGTAAGACAAACGAAGAATGAATCGAGCCTTCACTCAGACCCTGATGAGACCCAATCTCCCTTTGAGGAGACCTGCGACTGGACCGAGTTCACTTACTCCTAGAGGCCCAGCACCAACATTTCACGAGTTCGCTCAAGAAAATCTGCTAGCAAGTGACATGCTAGATGGTATGGGTGAAATGATTTTGAGCATTACACATGCATGTAGTAAAAAAAACAAAAAATATAATCTAGATCATATTCTTTTTCCAATTCTTTAGGTCCTATGGGGGATGCTGTTCGAAAGGAGAATGTGATTTCCGCAAAAAATAGTCAGAATGTATGTATGTGATAACATCTGTATAAAAAAATTTAAGATTTATCTTATAAAGTTATTTTTTAAGTCAAAAACCTAAATTCAAACTAATATGTCTTAATACTTTTAACATTGGTTGTATTGCTATGTGTATATATTTGATATATTTTCCTCTTGAGGCTTTAAAGGAATAGGTCACCCAAAAATAAAAAATGTCATCACTTATTTCCAACCCTGTATGGATTTCTCAGTGGGGACCGGAAACAGTTTGGTTACCCACATTCTTCAAAATATCTTCTTTAGTGTTCAGCAGAAGAAATAAATTTATATAGGTTTGGAAGGACTTGAGGGTGAGTAAATAATGACAGCATTTTTATATTTGGGTGAACTATCCCTTTAACCAGAAATCAGAGAGCATTCAGTAGTAGTTAAAGTATTTAATTTTTTCTGCAGTGTGGAGACTTTTTGTCTCCCCACCAGACAGCAGGGTCTATGGTGGGCCCACTGGTAAAGCTGTGCAATTACTGCAGTCACCAGGGTAGGTTACTTTGCTCGATTTCAGTGTTTAACATTTCTTTGTCATTTTGTCACACTGCAAAAATTTTTCTTACGCAATATTTTGTATTGTTTTCCAGTACAAATATCTAAACATTGTTAAATCAAGATACATTTATTTGAGAAGGAAAATTACTTCCAATATTTATTAAATGTGATCAGATTTAGGCTATGCTTAAAACCAGAAAATCTGCCAATGTGGTAAAAAAACTTTTTTACCCAATTGACATATTTATCTTGTTTTAGTATAACTTTTGGATTTTTTTTAATAACATCTTTATTTTAATAACATATTTTATCTCGATTTACACATTGTATATGCATTGAATTATTTCCCCAACAAATCACTGGCATTGTTGAAAGAAAATTGAAAAATTCAAACAGCACGT